TAAGGTTGGAATTTTGAAGTCAATAATTATTAGAAGTATGACGTTAGTGGATAGCAAACATTTGACTAAAGAGTTGACACGGCTGACAAATATATTACTGGAAAATAATTATCCTTTGGGCTTTATTGAAAATAATATCTCTCTACTGAGGAATACATTTTCAGACGAAGACCATTTAGTCAACGAGAGACAGACTGAGACCTTTTCCCATGTCCTAATTTTGCCGTTATGCCTTCTCTTAAAAAGATAGGCGAGTTAATAGAAAGTGAAGGATAAAAACTATGTTCAACGAGACCCTCACACTGTCTTCTGGTATGCCATCATTTAGAAAGAAATATGAGCTGTTATCGAGACCCAGCTGCTACAAGATTGTTTGCTCATGTGGTCGATGTTATGTTAGTAATACATACCGACCTATTCGACAAAGATTGGGGGAACACAAAAATGCGTGTAGAGGAAACTGGGTTCAACGGTCCAAAGTGGCCAAACACATGGTAGCAAATGGACATGAAACATAATGGTCTCAAACTAGTAGGTTTGCTGATTATGGTACTTCTGCGCTATTGACAACTAATAGCTCAGGAAATACGTTGAATGTAAAGAACGGTGTTAGAAATTTGAGTAGCAACTACTTATGCTTGATTGTTAAATTGAAGAAGAGAGAGAGGATGTTTAGCCGCCATCCAAAGAAGTGATTCAGTGATGGTTTTAACTTCACTTACGCTTGTCCAACATGTTGGACTAATCTTATCAACCAAAACAGACGTACCAGATTACGCAGCCCCAGTCATGTCCTTCCTTGCAGAGTTTAACATTAATGAGCCTAGACTGAGTGATTAGGACAAGTGGTTTCGTAACTTAACTTACCTGCTTACAAACTCATACCTCCTTATCTCAACCATACTTGCTTACGGACTTACGCAGTTTCGGTCAGGGCTTTCTCTTGAGTAATTAGGCCTTGATGATCAGAATTTGACATTAGCCTTTTGATAACCCTGATTTAAGACCGGTATTGCATATAGATGTTAACACACACACACACACGAGTAAAAGTAGCAGGACAAGTATGAAAGATAATTAGCCAAACCAGTCTATATCTATCTAGGTTTTTAATTTTCTTTGCTTAATTGAGTCTATGTAAGAGGTAAGATAGAGCCGGATAGTCTTCTTGCTCTAGTGTTAACCTGAGACTTTTACAGAAATGAGACCAAGCTCTGATGATATCCATCGAATGATGTACGAAAGCTCAGCCCGTTTTCACCCGAAACGAGAGAGGAAGTCTCGTAAACTGCGTCAACCTGAACGTCGTATAGAAGACAAATAACTGCAGTACAACTGGATTCATCCGTCCTATTCTAATTAGATCGACCTATGAATCTCTTCTTCATGCATTTTCATACGAAATAAAATTCTTCCCAACAATTCACAGTGTCAAAAAAATCTCCTTTATATCACTTAGACCATTCGCAAAACCTACTGCTCGGCTTCATAACTATCCGATTGCTGTTAAAAACGATATCGTGAATTCCTTCTCAGAACAACTAACCAACTAGTCGAAATATAGAATAGCCTATAACTCTATTCGATTCTTTACTTCCTCCGTTAGGCTATCCGCCGAATCAATTAATTTAGGCAATGTCAGGATGTTATTTTTCTTCAATTGGTAGGGCAAAATGCAATAATCTTCTCGATGGAAACTTCACGCTACTCTTGAGAGTCATACAGGATACATTATCATCCATATGCCTGTCACAGCCACAATAATTACGCTCAAATACCTTTTTTTTTAATTTTATATAATAAACTGACTTAGCTATTATATCTCTAGCTATAGCTAAACCCTCAGTCATATCCTGTAATACAAAAATCGGCCAGATTGAAATAGTTTATTAAAATTTTCAATAATTTCTTAGGCTAGTTTTAACCAAACTATTCGATAGTGTATCCCTTTTAGATATGTTGAACTAAATAAATCAAAATACTGATCTAGGAGCAACAGTATGAGAAATGCACACGTTTATATTCGTGTAATGAGGAGTAGTAGGTAAAATTCACTACTCTCTAATTCTTTAGACTTGCCGGCAAATAGTATTCTTGGTCTTAATGCGGTAACAAGACAGATGGCAGGAAATTGAAGTTTAAGTGAGTTTCGGTGACTTCTCAAATGCTAGTGTTACGGTGATTTCCAGTTTATGCTAGTATCTGAATAAAAGATTTGTAGGTCGATCGTACCAGAAGACTAGGGAGGATTCCTGGTTCTCCAAATTCGTTTGAAATTACTATGAAGTTCCGGTTTCCACAGTCCATGAGGAAACATTCTACACTTCAGGTGAAAACGGTGCAAGCCTTCGCCTTCTACTAAATCGACACTGTCAGAAATAGAACTTACTCTTAGACATCTATCCACCTGAAACTTTTGCACGAAATAAAAGCCACCACAATAATTTTACTCGACGATATTAATCGAAACTGCTATACTTTATCAATTTCAACTTTGTTAAGCAAAATTGAAAATCCTTAAAATTTGTTTCATGTTTTAGTTTATCTGGCTTTCAATCTTCTTCAGTAGTAGGGCTGTTACTGAGGTCGAGTACTCCTTTTTATCAACGCCTGAATAGCAGACTTCGCAAAGAACCAATCGATGAAGATCAAAAATAATTCTTGACTCATCCACAACTTGAACCTTGGTGACTGTGCTTAATTGACCCTCAGCATGAGAAGATGAAGGAATATAAAGTAATGAAGTAAGATTCAATCGAACTGATCTGATCGGTTCATCTGAACACTTCTTTTCGAGTTACCACAAAATCAAAACCTTTAGATGCCCTAACGATTGATTCCCTCCCCAAAAAACATAAGCTTGATCTGGCAGCCTCCATTTTTTTCAAAAAAGCAATGGCGTTTAATTAAAGGATTCTACTCTGAATTAAAAAAACATACGAGGAAACCTTGAAAAAGCGTGAATTCAACACGAATTGCCCAGAATAGTTTCAAGTTAGGACAAATTACTGCCTAATGTGCTCAAGTAGAATTAGCAACTGGTAAAATATATTCCAAACTGTAACACAAGTCAACGATTTGGAAGTATAGGAGGAGCTTTTTTGAACCCAGGGCATAAGATAAATCTATATGAAACTGAATAGCTAAAATAGAAAGTGTATAATGTCAACTAAGGCAGGATGAGGGTGTAAGAAAGAGCTGAAGAGGCAAGAACCATAGGAAAAACGAATGATTTATACCTAAAATCGAGTACTCTCCTGGTCCCCGAAGTGTCCCTAAAGTGTCCCCGTTTTATTCATTCTTGATACTCAATAATTCACATAGAGTCGACAGATTGCTTACAATTCCAAAACTACTCGAGTTCAATATGATTAGAAAAATATTATTCCGTAAAGTTAGACAGGAAAAATGGTTTGAGAAATGTAATTGTTAACGGCCAGTGATGCTGACTCACGTTGACCAACTTTTCTCTGTGAAGCACGTAGCCCCAAGGCGCGATTCCGATGCATTTCGTCTTTTTGAACCGACTATCGAGGCCGCCATCGCAATGATAAATTTCGCCCTCTTCTAAAGCATCACCAACAGCTTTTATGATGCCCAGGTTTAGGCCAGAGGTTATTATCAGAGCGTCTGACGTCCGAACTGCTTTTATCAGGCCCTATAAAGAGAATGGTCACAGGTGGTGAGTATAACTGAAATTATGACAAGTCAAACAATCAAGGCAGTACAGATAATAATAAAGAACTGTATAAAGTATTCAGAGTTCAGTCACTTTGTGATGATGAAGCCAGAAGGCGACAGAGTTATAGCTATTCAGCTCTAACTATAGAGACAAATCGTGTATTTACTCTGGGATCAGGACCTTAATATAACCCAGCCGTCACATGGCAGAAGATAGTCCAGCAGCTCATTGCGAGCCTATCCTGACGGCCAGCAGATATGAAAAAGCAGGGTACCAAAGTTATCTACTTTCCTTCCTTACGTGTGTATATTAAATGCGTCGAAAGGTCGCTTTGCGACTGGATTTCATTGCAGAAGTTCTTTACGATGTGTGAATGGATAGTGGGTTTTCTGTGGAAAATTTAAGTGGGTTTAAGACATTTGAAATTCATTAGTAGACTTGGATGACGTGATGCGATACGAAGACTAAACAGCTTTTCGGGTTCCAATGACTATAAGTGATGTCCGATGATTTTACCTGCTAACGCCAGCGAAACCGAGAATCGGAGATGCCTCATCATCTCTTTTGTGTGAATGTTATTTCATCTAAGCCATATCTGAAACAAATTTCCAGCAAAGTCTTCGCTTAGCCTTTAGACGTCTACTTGCATGCAGCTCAACATTCGTAACTTTCAGAGTGACGATGGAGACACTTCATTTGCGTGGCCAAGTCGCGTCAGTCTCAGTTACTTGTACCTTATCTGTGCTACAGAGGATATGCACACATATATGGACAGGTACACTGTAAACATTGACAAAAGCTAGCAACATCAGCCTCAACATGCTTCCAAAGAAATTGGGGCGGGCCTTATATGAGAACTATCTACGAATTTACTTCACTGTCCTCTCTCCGCAACTATGCAGCAAGCTGATAATGGCAGTTGTTTGTTGTTTGCACAGGCAGCCTAATTCTGCTCCAATCTTTCTTTAACTATCAGTGTACAGATTTGACCTGTACAAGCGACTCTGAGCTTTACCTTCGGTATTTCTCTGCATTTTCATATTATGTTACATGCTAAAAAAGCCCATGCTACTTAGATTCTAGCTCAGATATCCGGAAAGTCAATGACCTACTATGGCCAAAGAGTAAATAATAGAGGATGCCTCTTATCCCTCCTATCTATCTATCTATCTATCTATCTATCTATCTATCTATCTATCTATCTATCTATCTATCTATCTATCTATCTATCCATTTATCTATCTATCTACTTATATACCCATCTATCTATCTATCTATCTATCTATTCAGCTATCTATTCAGCTATCTATCTATCTATCTATTCAACTATCTATCTATATGCATATCTATCTAACTACACACCTATCAATTTATCTGTCTATCTGCCTACCTACCTACCTACTTATCTGTCTATCTACCTATCTATTTATATATCTCTATCTATCTATCTATCTATCTATTAATTAATCTATCTATCTATCTATTTTTATATCTATCTACATATCTATATTTATTTCTACCTATCTATTTATGTATGTATGTATGAATGTATATATATATATATATATAAAGTTCGCACCTATTATCTTCATATATAATAAAATCATTAGCTTGTCCACAAGACCCGTTAATGCAAGTCATTTTGTGCCTTGAGATACGTGGCTCAACGGACCTTAAATAATGAGGATTCAAACAAGGGAGAAAAAATGCGGTAAATGGTTAAACAAATAAAAGCTAAACCCTTTTTACATGAATTATCCTTTTGTTTCTCATTAATTGGCTTTCCAATATAGTATATCCAATTACTCACATACATTTTGCCTACTTAATATTTAATTGCGCAACCGGTCACATTTAGTTTTTGAAAAGGCCTACTTAACCCTAGTAACATCGGCTTCCATCATATCGCCTTTAGAGAATCCATTCAACAAATCTCAGGCTCCAGAATAGTATTAGCCTCAGAATACCAAATGCCGCCCCAAAACTATGGTTAAAACATCATAAAGTAATGTCATCTGTCCTTTTTCAATAGACCTATCCGCATAAGAAAGCTGCATCCGTTTCTTTGATATAAAAAATGGTACTTGCATACACGAGTCTGGCTCTAATGAAAATGTAATACTTTAATCCTTTCCATTACTCACACCAAAGAAGGTTTCTATATTTACCCCTATGAATGTTTCGGTGAAATTTAAGCTTTAGAAAGGTAATCAACTTCTCTAGTCGATCAATTTAAAGAGTTATTAATAGCGGACTTGCGGATTACGGAGGTATTAAAGACT